AGATTATATATATTCTATTCTGGTTTACGTCTATTTTTTATTACCATTTCTATATATATAAATGTATGCTGTATACAATACATTGTATATATAAATATAATTTTTAACATTTTTTCTATACGTATGACTTCTCAAGCTCGCGTGTTCAACTTGTATCCGGTAATCAATTTTAATGTGTTTACATAAGTGAAAAAAATGATGGATGGTTACACAACCATTACATTTCACATAAACAGGTATTTATAATTATCTTGTTGCCTTAGGCAATGATTATATTATTTGTTAATGTGATTAACGCTTTGAGTGGCATATTTCTTTTTGCCTTATTCATTTCTCATCATTTTTCTGTGATAACGTTTTGTTTGTATTTCTTTTACTAGGATCGCAGACATTCGGGAGTAATGGACTGTACGTTGAATTTGTCAAATTTATACGAACTGTTGCATAACACTTTGTTAATCACAGAGGAAGTGAAGGAAATATTGAGAAAAGATTGTGACGAAGCAGCATTCGTTTTAAAACCGTGGCAGATGAAAACCGTGGTTGAAAAACGAATCAACGAAAACATTTGTATTTGTAAAAAAGTAATCGCGATTTAATTTATATAAATTTTTACTTTTAAATATGTTCTGCTTATATGTATAGGTTGACATGAATTTGTTTTATTTATTATTAATTAATAGAATGAAAACGAAGCTGAGGAGATCGCTGCGGGAATAAGCAGAGCGATCGTTCTTGCACAAGAATTGCGGGAAAAATTGAAGCTTAATGTAGCATCGAAAAAAAAAGTATCCTTAAGAAAAGATACAGTTGAAAATATTTATCTATCCAATTCTGCATCGACTAGCGATCGCAAGAAAATTTCGAAAAACAATATTACAACGCAAAAAACAAATATCGCTAAAAGCCCCCATTGCCCCAAAAGATCAAGTGCACTTCAAAATAAAATAACTTCTATCGTGACGAAAAAATCTATTGGCGGTATAAAGCGAAGTAACGCAATCGAAACGATGCAATCAAAGGCGTCATCTGCAAAAGTTGCAGGAAAGTTACAGAAAGGGAAGAATTTTATACTGAAAAATAAATTAAACATTAAGAAGATAAGTTCAGCAAATAAACTACAAATTGGCGATGATCCTGATGATATTCCGCAAAATGTATGCAATAATGATACAGTACAATATTATCAGATATAATAGAATATTGAAAAATTTTTTATATAATTTTTTATTGCGCATTTTTATTTCAGTCAAGAAAGTCTCTATCGCCTGAAGCATCAGCTGCTGAATTAAGCGATTTGATACATAAAATGACACGACAATCTACTGAGAATATATCAATTTCTTCTCCCGGGAATATTAAGAACGATTGTCCATTGCATGGAAATGATGGACATCAGTCCATTCAAGAACAAATTGTAACGATAGATGTAGTGGAAGCGCTCCAACATTTTAATGTGCCGAATGAAATTGTTAAAGTATTGAGAACTTATTACTCATTTTTAAAAACTGAAACAGATAGCTCGAATGATATTAATGAGGATAGATTTCAGAAATCAGTTAACACTTTTCTAAAAGAATTCGAAGCGATGGTAAGTAATGTATGTGGAAGGAGGAAGAGCGTTGAAATTATACAAGACCGATGCCTTATATTATTTATAATTGTTGCAGAATATAACCATGCAAGATCATTTATTAGAAGAACCTCACTTGCTTGATAAGACAGCAAAATCAATAACTGTATTTAGTAGCATTCTTACTAAAGATTTAGATTCGAGCCAGTCCAATGACATGAAAATTGCTTCCACTGAAGCAGTAGGAACCTCTTTTAAACAATATGATATTAACATTGCAAAACCGATTACAAAAGATCCATATAATCTTTCTTTGACAAGAGGATGGATGTCGAACGGCATTTGGAATATTTCCTGTATGGAGCATTTTAAAAGTAAATTCATTTGTATATTAATCACAGCTTAAAATTTTAATTAATTTAATCACGCTGATCTCAATTTCTAAATTTTGTTGTAGATTTTTCTAAAGTCCTTAATATAAGATACTGTAACAAGAAGCAATTATTATCGCTGTACGAAGCAATACAAAAGTTACAGCGCACCAAGTATTTGAATACATTAATCGAAATTGTTTTACGCGACATGATACCCACCGTTAAATCTAATATCGAGCCTGCAAGCACAGAGTATGCACAAGCATATAAAACATTGTTCATTCTCTACCAAGGTTTAAATCCCGAAGTACCGGTTTTAGTAAAGACCGATAGCTAAGTCTCACACCATGATATATTCTCTGTTACTATAGTAACCACACTGTGTGTGTACTGCCTAATTGACTATCCATTTTTCGTGAAATTATAGACTGGGACTATACATAAATGTGTTTTTTGTTATGACTTTTATGACATTGTGTTAATAACAATCAAAACATTTTGTGCCATTAAATATTTCTTAATAAGTGTGGAAAATAAAATTTTGAAATTTGATATTAAAATAAACTAAAATTGTAAAAGCGAAACTATCCTAGAATTGTGTATTTTCTTCAATATAGTTTAAGTTATCTTTATACACAATGGATTTGGAATACGCTTATACGAAGAAGAGAATGCATTTCGGTAAAAGATGCAATTTCTCTGACTTCGATAAAACAGAAGTGGAAATCAAATCGAATCCAGCGTTGATGAATAATTATGTTAGAATGGATCCTGTGACACACGCTACGCAATGCAGTAAAGTCTTTGCGGTTCATGAGGTAAAAATATTTTAATTAATGACATTTGTGGGAAAACGTACAGCAAAATTTTTATATGTAGTGTATGTAAATGTTAAGGTAAATACAACTACTGCAACGTATAGGGATAATAAAATGTTTCATTATGAGGGTGGCTGGCCGAAGGACATAAATATGAAGGATTTAGAACAGACAGTCAGATATAGACGTAAGATCGAAAAAGATGAATTATATATTCATACAATGCTTCAGCTGCTACCTGTAAACATCTCTTTTGTTGTTCTTTTAAAGTTATTGAAATTATCTTATACATTCAGAATTATTTATAAGAAATATTCTTTTTAAGTCAATGGAGCACTGTATTTTGCAAAACAACGCTTGCAACATTTACGAAGAATACTTCGCTGATGTGGAGGCGATCTCGCTGATACAAAGAGCTTTTTCGCGCACGGTAAACGTTTATCGTGATCCTTTAACGATGAAACGACAGATCACTCATCTGTCGTGGTCGCCAGATCAAGGTAATCGCTTTGCGGCAAGTTATTGCAACGTTGATTTCAAAAAAACTTTTAGCAGCAATTACACGTCGTATATCTGGGAAGTAGGTGCGTTGAGTAAACGGTATAGCCAAGATCAAAGTTGATTGATCGTTGATTGGTATATTTACGAAAAATTACTCCATAGAGAATCCAAATAATCCTTACATAACACTAAAACCTTTTTGTCCGATCCTGACGTTGGAGTACAGCCCTAAGGATAGCAATACCTTGATAGGTGGTCTGATAACTGGACAGGTGGGTTGTTGGGACCTTAGAAGAGGTCCAGAAATAATAGACATCAGTTCGGTTGAGTTTAGCCATAGAGATCCCTGTGATAAAACCTTATGGATTAATTCCAAGACTGGTACCGAATTTTTTAGCGCTTCGAAAGATGGACAGGTATAATTTTGTTCGAAACAACAGCGATTATCGACAATGAGCCCGATGATATTGGGATACTCGTTTGTTTGTAGATAAAGTGGTGGGATACCAGAAAGTTGCAAGTTCCAACAGAAACTTTAGTAATAGATTTATCGAAGCCAGAAAATCAAAACGTGGACAAAGCTACCGGTATTTCAGCTCTTCAATTCGAACCTTCGATGGGAACGCGTTTCATGTGTGGCTTAGAAAACGGTATAATAAATATTGTTGTGCAAATTATATGTTTTGATAGAAATTTATATAATTTTTATTAAATAATTATATTTCAACATAAAATTCTAAAGTAATAAAAAATAGAATTTTAAATGCAAGAAATAAATTAATGAAACGAATTCGATAACGAATTTAATTATTATTGAAAAATTTTTATGAAAAAAAAATAGATATGTGATAAAACAATAAAATAATTTCGTTCTTTAGGTATTGTAATATCGGGAAATCGCAAAGGTAAAACGCCTAGTGAAAAAATTGCAACTAGATTTAGAGCCCAGTATGGACCGGTTATAAGTCTGGAAAGAAACCCAACGTTCGTAAAAAACTTTTTAACAGTCGGTGATTGGACTTCGAGAGTTTGGTCGGAAGATTGTAGAGAATCCTGCATAGCATGGACACCGTAAGTTTAAATGGGATAATGGAACATTTAGAAAACTTTACAACTTTGCTTCGATGTTTTTTTAGCGGTCATCGAGACTTTTTAACGGGTGGTGCATGGAGTGCTACGCGTTATTCTGTGTATTATTTGATCAAAGTTGATGGAACTTTAGATGTGTGGGATTTTTTGATTCAGGAGGACAGTCCAGTTCTTAGCATAAAGGCATCTAATTTCTAATTCTAAGGTTATCACGCTATCGCGTGAATAAATTTTAACAATATAATTCGTTCGAAGGTCTGCGACGAAAGTTTGACCTGTTTACGACCACATGAGCAAGGTCAACTGGCTGCAGTAGCGAATAAAAAGGGTTCGACTTATTTACTCGAATTTTCGGAGGCTTTAACGGTCAATCAAAAGAACGATAAACTGTTATTAACCGCGGTAAATATATTGATAAAGAATGTAATTTTTGCCTATTATCTTATTAGAACTATAAAAAAGAGTA